TCCTGGAGGACTTCCAACCACCGTGACAATTGGCCCGAGGGTTGGGCGACCCTCAATGAATACTGAAGCGCCGCGTGGTCCGTCCGGACCGTAAAATGACGGCCATAGAGATATGGTCTAAATTGCTGTACAAAAAAAACAATAGCCAGCAACTCGCGACGGGTGACGCAGTAGCGCTGTTCCGCCGGCGACAAAACCCTGCTACCATAGGCGACCACCCGTTCGACTCCCCCAACGACCTGTGAGAGCACCCCCCCAATGCCCGTGTTGCTAGCATCCGTGTCTAGCAAGAAGGGACTTGTAAAGTCAGGATAACGCAAGGGCGGGGCACCCACCAAGGCGTCCCGGAGGGAGCAGAACGCGGCCTCCTCCTCCGGTCCCCATCGGAACTTGACTCCTTTTGCCGTTAGAGCGTGCAAGGGTTTTGCAATTGTGGCGAAATGCTCAACGAATCGGCGGTAGTAAGAAGCAAAACCGATGAAACTGCGCACGTCCGAAACCGACGTGGGCGTTGGCCATGAACTGACACAGTTCGTCTTCGCGGGATCGGTAGAGATCCCCGAAGAATCGACAATGTGGCCCAAGTATCTCACGGACTTACAAAGAAGGTGGCATTTGGCCGGTTTAAACTTTAATTTAGCCGATCGCATCCGCAAGAACACCCCTCTCAATCGCTGGAGGTGTTCCTCAAACGTTTTACTGAAAACAATGACATCGTCTAGGTAAATCAAGCAAGTATCCCATTGCAAACCCGACAAAACCAACTCCATAAGGCGCTGAAACGTCGCGGGAGCGGAGTGAAGTCTCATGGGTAACCGGTTAAACTGGAACAGGCCCCCTGGAGTCCGAAATGCTGTCTTAGGTCTAGACTCGTCGTCGAGTGGCAACTGCCAGAATCCCGATAATAAATCAAGAGTAGAAAAATATCGCGCACCAGACAATGCATCGAGGGACTCGTCCATTCTGGGGAGCGGATACGCGTCAGCCACGGAGATTTTATTCAGGCGACGGAAATCTACGCAAAATCGCAAGGACCCGTCTTGCTTTTTAACCAGCACGATAGGTGCTCCCCAAGGACTGGAAGAAGGCGAAATAATGTCGGCGGCCAGCATATCGTTGACGGCCGACTGAACGTGTTCCTTCTCAGCAGGACTCAGCCGGAAGGGATTTAGCCTGACCGGTGCCGCATCGCCTGTTTCAATATGGTGGCGCAACAGGTCCGTGCACCCAATGTCATATTTGTGTTTACTGAACACATCAGAGAATTCTATCAACAACACACGCAGCGCACCCAACTGTACCCTTGAGAAATCCTTCGAGTCCGCGCACAACGAATCGACCCATTCAAGGTCCTCCCTCGATGGAATGTTCTGCGTCGGGACTGGATCAACATGCGCAACAAGGCGCTCTTCCGCAGGGACCCGTGCCGCGTGAGCAAGCACAGTGCCCTGCTGAATAACGGCCGGCCGCGAACCAGCGTTTAAAACCATCACGAACGGGTCCTTGTCAGCCCGAACCAAAGTGTGAGCCACCGACAAATCGAGACCTCCGACAGCCCTATTTGATGGACCCAAGAGCATGCCCTGTTCCGAGGTCTCCCCATCCAATGGTTTCCTCGACCGGAGGGGAATCAACATCTGTGAACCCGGGGGCACGTGCACGGTCTGTGTCGCCAGCGCTAGTATCGTAGCGCACGCCGTCCGAATTTCGGTGGGATTCGACAAAAAAGAAATACGGCGACCCGATGGTAGCTCAATGCAACGCTGATCGATGAGAATTTTAATGGGCATTTTAGCCAAAAAATCTGTGCCCAACAGACAAGGAACTGCTAAGGAAGAGGAAACGAAAACGGGTCCCGACAATTTAATATCTCCAATGCAAATGGACGCCCGAATCTGCCCGACAATGCCCAACGAGCCCCCATTTGCCGCGTAAAATGGCACGTCCACCGGAAGCAGAGGTCGATATTGGACGGGGAGAATGTTGTAAATGAGGTCTGATATAATAGTCGCCGACGCCCCCGTGTCCACTAACACCCTGACCTCGACCCCGTCAATGAATCCCGTAACGACCGACGAACCCGCCGACGCAGCCACTATTCTGTGACCCAACTCAGACCATTTAATGTCCCCTCGGTCCCGCACGAACCCCCCTCGCCGAACCGAATCCCCGATCCCTAATCGGCCTTCCTCCGCCGCAAAGCGACGGCCCATGTGTGACGTGCATGTAGGCCGAGCATGTGAAGTGCCGCGACTTGCCGGGGGTAGTAGGGATGACTTGGGGCCTTGGTCGTCGTCCAGCCGAGGTCTCATGGCGCGCTGACGTGGAGCGCGGCAACCGGACGCCACGTGGCCCCGGAGGCCGCAGTTGTAACACGTGATGAGGGACGTCGGAGGTCTCGGTTGCTCCAGCTTGCGGGCCGATCGCAGAGGCGAACGACCCCCCGACCTCCAGTCCCCCGGTCGTCCAGCGGTGAACGCCTCCTCTCGTGGGCAGACGACTTGGGGCTCGGTGACCACCGGGCCCGGAGCTGAGGCCACGGCAGCAGTGCAGACGACCCCCTGTTTACGCTTGAGGACCTCGTACGCCTGTATACTTGTTGCGACCTGCAAAGAAGAAATATCGACCTCGTCGGCCGTGTTGATGGGGACCCCCAGGTCCTGCGCCAACTTGAGCAGTTGCTCCAAGACCATCGCATCCTGGCCCTCCTCGTCCATACGAGGGAACGCGGCGTCGGCGAGAGCCAACAACGCCGTGCGGTAGGCGAGCGCGGTCTCCGTGTCCGCCTTCCGTCGGTCGTAAAACTGATGGCGACACGCCGAAGGAGGTCCATAGACCTTGGCCATGAGACCCAGCGCAGCCTTAGGCGTGGAGCGGTCCGACCTCTGTGCGGACCTGAAGGCCGCGAGCGCGTCGTCGTCCAACATGGCAGGCAGTGCCCGCAGCGCCGTAGCGTCGGACCAGGCCGACATTTCCTGATGCGCCAGAAACCTGCGTTGGAATGCGCCCCAGTCCCCGCCTTCCGCCTTGAAGGCTGACAACGTGGGAAGGCGCTGCTGGAAGATGAAGTCGTCCTCTGCCACATGGTTCCTCTCCGCCGCCCCGTCGGTCTGCAAGATGGCGGCCCCAATGGCGGGTGGCTGATGGTGGTCCGTAGCGCGCGCTGATGACGTAAGCGGGCGCGCTTGGAGAACCGCCGCCACGTGTTGCTCGCCGTTCCCGCCAAAAGATGTCCGCGCGGTTGAAATGGCGGGAACTGCCAAGTCATTTTGGCGGGAATCTGCGGGGCGATCCTGTTGAATGTCCGCCGACGTCCCCGCTCCTCCCGACGTGTTGATTTCCGCCAGGATGGACGCCGCGGCGAGCAGCAGCTCTGCCAGACGGGAGTGCGCCTCGCGGAGTCCGGCATCAGCCCCCAGTCGCTCGTCCGGCGCCCCCGGCAGGTCCTGCGGCGTCGGCATTTCCCCGTCCTCTCCCCCCGATGCCAGCTGGCCCGAGTCGTCGAGGTTATCCTCGCGGTCAATCCCGTGAGTCCGACGAGTCTTCCTTGTATCCATGCCTGGAAGACTGTTTCACTTCTGACGCCAGTTGAAGTATTCGGAATGACGGCAGGAAACCACTTGACGGGTAGCACACTTTTTATTAAACCTTGACTTGTCACGATACAACGTGTGGTCACTATTTCTTTCACTACACACTCCACTTGACACGTGTGGTCACTTTTTCTCACACTACACACTCCACTTGACACGTGTGGTTACTACGGCTCACGCTGCAGGCTCACGCTGCACGCTCACACTGCACTCCAGCCCCGTAACGTCCGTGGAGCCTACAGGCCCACCCCAGCTTGGGCGTGGGCCACAACCTCTGGGTCCCGCGGGCCGGCCCTCACACGGACGTTCGGCCCCGGGTCCCAGGGTTCCGCCTCTGGGTCACACAGAGCCCCGGTCCTTACAAGGACAGCGGGACTAGGTGCCTCAGGGCCCTATCTCTTCCTCCTCCATCTTCAGTCTTCGCTGGTCACCAACTCCCCGTGCGCCTGTGCGCACCACCTTATATAGCCCCAGCTCCCGGGAGACGGAGCGTATGCGGACCTCGACGTGAGCACCCCCCTTAGTTGACCAATCACGACGCGCTGTTCCTACGATCCGTTTTCCCAGCGCGTGTTACCACTACACAACCAATCGCCCCGCGCTGCCACACGATCACTCCCTGTCAGCGCGCGTCACCGGCACACAGCCAATCACCACCACATAACCCATGACCCCGCGCTGCCCTGTGATCCCTCACCGTCAGCGCGCGTCACCGGCACACAGCCAATCACCACGCGCTGCCACACGATCCCCACTGTCAGCGCATATCACCACTACACAGGTAACAAGCTGAGATTAGGAGCACTCCCTTTAAGAGTGTGCTCCTAATCTCAGCTCGTTACCTGTATAAAAGACACCTGGGAGCCAGAAATCTTTCTGATTGAGAGGGGGTCAAATACTTATTTCCCTCATTAAAATGCAAATCAATTTATAACATTTTTGACATGCGTTTTTCTGGATTTTTGTTGTTGTTATTCTGTCTCGCACTGTTCAAATAAACCTACCATTAAAATTATAGACTGATCATTTCTTTGTCAGTGGGCAAACGTACAAAATCAGCAGGGGATCAAATACTTTTTTCCCTCACTGTAGGCTGTGTGTATGAGTGTGCTATGTAGGCTGTGTGTATGAGTGCGTGTATTAGGCTATGTGTGTATAGGCTGTGTGCATGAGTGTGCTATGTAGGCTGTGTGTTTAAGTGGGTTTATGTAGGCTGTGTGTATGAGTGTGCTATGTAGGCTGTGTGTATGAGTGCGTGTATTAGGCTGTGTGTGTATAGGCTGTGTGCATGAGTGTGCTATGTAGGCTATGTGTATGAGTGGGTTTATATAGGCTATGTGTATGAGTGCGTGTGTATGTAGCTGTGGTTGTTGCTATGAATGCAGACTGAGCACGTGTATCTTGCAGGTTGGCAGGCTCTGTGGATGAGCGCAACCCAACGATCATCCCCAGGGACGTTTTGTCCATGCTGCACATGGGACAAAGAAATTCGCTGAGTCCCTGCGACGTGGTCAAGGTGCAGAAGCTGTACGGCTACGAGGCGGAGGTGCACGCCGCTCCCGCAGGTTGGGCCGCGTGGTTTACGCCGTTGGTCTCTGTGTTTGGTTTTAGTGAGGACGGGGTTCTCGTGATGAGCTGTGCGTCTATCCCTCTGTAGCATTCTCTCTGGTTCCACGGTGACTCCAACCCTGAATCAATGCAAGATTCCCTTCCACAACCATACCCAAACTGGGAAGTCACAGTTTTCACTATTGCCGTTTGTTTAAACGAAATATGAATGTTTTTTTTTTAAATATGATCCTGTCTTGTATATTGTGGCACACCCACCATAATATGATTGACATAAGTGACTAAAACCCAACAAAGCTCATAGTATTTAGCAACACTTTCCATGTGAAACATGTTGTGAGTTTACTGTGGTGATTCTGATTATGGATACGTTGTTGACAAAAGACAATATACCTCGACTTCCCCAGGCTGTTTGTAAGATCTCTGCTGAGAAGGGAATCCATTGTTGGATGTGTGTTGGATATTGCTATGGAAGCTTCTCAGTGGCGTGAGGAATTCTGGCTTGAGATGTCGCTCCGTGGCCGTGCGCTGTGTCGTGGAGTTGTTGGGTGCCCACCCTTCGTGTGCGCTCACCTGGCCCTGTCTCTGTGTCGGCACTCACCTGACCCTGTCTCCGTGTCGGCACTCACCTGGCCGTCTCTGTGTCGGCACTCACCTGGCCCTGTCTCTGTGTCGGCACTCACCTGGCCCTGTCTCCGTGTCGGCACTCACCTGGCCCTGTTTCTGTGTCGGCACTCACCTGGCCCTGTCTCCGTGTCGGCACTCACCTGGCCCTGTCTCTGTGTCACCACTCACCTGGCCCTGTCTCTGTGTCGGCACTCACCTGGCCCTGTCTCTGTGTCAGCACTCACCTGGCCCTGTCTGTGTGTCACCACTCACCTGGCCCTGTCTCTGTGTCGGCACTCACCTGGCCCTGTCTGTGTGTCAGCACTCACCTGGCCCTGTCTCTGTGTCAGCACTCACCTGGCCCTATCTCTGTGTCACCACTCACCTGGCCCTGTCTCTGTGTCGGCACTCACCTGGCCCTCTCTCTGTGTTAGCACTCACCTGGCCCTGTCTCTGTGTCAGCACTCACCTGGCCCTGTCTCTGTGTCACCACTCACCTGGCCTTGTTTCTGAGTCGGCACTCACCTGGCCCTGTCTCTGTGTCGGCACTCACCTGGCCCTGTCTCTGTGTCACCACTCACCTGGCCCTGACTGTGTGTCACCACTCACCTGGCCCTGTCTGTGTGTCACCACTCACCTGGCCCTGTTTCTGTGTCGGCACTCACCTGGCCCTGTCTCTGTGTCGGCACTCACCTGGCCCTGTCTGTGTGTCAGCACTCACCTGGCCCTGTCTGTGTGTCACCACTCACCTGGCCCTGTGTGTCACCACCCACCTGGCCCTGTCTCTGTGTCAGCACTCACCTGGCCCTGTCTGTGTGTCACCACTCACCTGGCCCTGTCTCTGTGTCAGTACTCACCTGGCCCTGTCTCTGTGTCAGCACTCACCTGGCCCTGTCTGTGTGTCACCACTCACCTGGCCCTGTTTCTGTGTCGGCACTCACCTGGCCCTGTCTCTTTGTCGGCACTCACCTGGCCCTGTCTGTGTGTCACCACCCACCTGGCCCTGTCTCTGTGTCACCACTCACCTGGCCCTGTCTGTGTGTCAGCACTCACCTGGCCCTGTCTGTGTGTCGCCACTCACCTGGCCCTGTCTGTGTGTCACCACTCACCTGGCCCTGTCTGTGTGTCACCACTCACCTGACCCTGTTTCTGTGTCGGCACTCACCTGGCCCTGTCTCTGTGTCGGCACTCACCTGGCCCTGTCTGTCACCACTCACCTGGCCCTGTCTCTGTGTCAGCACTCACCTGGCCCTGTCTCTGTGTCACCACTCACCTGGCCCTGACTGTGTGTCGGCACTCACCTGGCCCTGTCTCTTTGTCGGCACTCACCTGGCCCTGTCTGTGTGTCAGCACTCACCTGGCCCTGTGTGTCACCACCCACCTGGCCCTGTCTCTGTGTCACCACTCACCTGGCCCTGTCTCTGTGTCAGCACTCACCTGGCCCTGTCTGTGTGTCACCACTCACCTGGCCCTGTCTCTGTGTCAGTACTCACCTGGCCCTGTCTCTGTGTCAGCACTCACCTGGCCCTGTCTGTGTGTCACCACTCACCTGGCCCTGTTTCTGTGTCGGCACTCACCTGGCCCTGTCTCTTTGTCGGCACTCACCTGGCCCTGTCTGTGTGTCACCATCCACCTGGCCCTGTCTCTGTGTCACCACTCACCTGGCCCTGTCTGTGTGTCAGCACTCACCTGGCCCTGTCTGTGTGTCACCACTCACCTGGCCCTGTTTCTGTGTCGGCACTCACCTGGCCCAGTCTGTGTGTCAGCACTCACCTGGCCCTGTCTGTGTGTCACCACTCACCTGGCTCTGTCTCTGTGTCGGCACTCACCTGGCCCTGTCTGTGTGTCAGCACTCACCTGGCCCTGTCTGTGTGTCACCACTCACCTGGCCTTGTGTGTCACCACCCACCTGGTCCTGTCTCTGTGTCACCACTCACCTGGCCCTGTCTGTGTGTCAGCACTCACCTGGCCCTGTCTGTGTGTCACCACTCACCTGGCCCTGTCTGTGTGTCACCACCCACCTGGCCCTGTCTCTGTGTCAGCACTCACCTTGCCCTGTCTGTGTGTCACCACTCACCTGGCCCTGTCTCTGTGTCAGCACTCACCTGGCCATGTCTGTGTGTCACCACTCACCTGGCCTTGTCTCTGTGTCAGTACTCACCTGGCCCTGTCTCTGTGTCACCACTCACCTGGCCCTGTTTCTGTGTCGGCACTTACCTGGCCCTGTCTCTTTGTCGGCACTCACCTGGCCCTGTCTGTGTGTCACCACCCACCTGGCCCTGTCTCTGTGTCACCACTCACCTGGCCCTGGCTGTGTGTCAGCACTCACCTGGCCCTGTCTGTGTGTCGCCACTCACCTGGCCCTGTCTGTGTGTCACCACTCACCTGGCCCTGTCTGTGTGTCACCACTCACCTGGCCCTGTTTCTGTGTCGGCACTCACCTGGCCCTGTCTCTGTGTCGGCACTCGCCTGGCCCTGTCTGTGTGTCACCACTCACCTGGCCCTGTCTCTGTGTCAGCACTCACCTGACCCTGTCTCTGTGTCACCACTCACCTGGCCCTGTCTGTGTGTCACCACTCACCTGGCCCTGTCTCTGTGTCACCACTCACCTGGCCCTGTCTCTGTGTCAGCACTCACCTGGCCCTGTCTGTGTGTCACCACTCACCTGGCCCTTTCTCTGTGTCACCACTCACCTGGCCCTGTCTCTGTGTCACCACTCACCTGGCCCTGTCTCTGTGTCGGCACTCACCTGGCTCTGTCTCTGTGTCACCACTCACCTGGCCCTGTCTCTGTGTCGGTACTCACCTGGCCGTGTCTCTGTGTCCGCAGCGGTGGTCAGGAGGAGCAGAACCTCGGCTGATAAGGAGGCGCCGCTGGACAGCCGCGTCGGCGTTTGGAAGGCGAAGGTAACACAGAAGCTCACTTTGTCTATTGTAGTGAAGCATGGGGATGGATTTCGATTTAAAGCTTTCGTGACTGCAGGGATTCATCTTCTTGGTTCTTTTGGTAAAGTCACGTAGAAGGGAAATAATAAAATAATAAAATTAAACATAATAAAATAATTCTCACGACGTTTCGGCCACAACGCAAGCAGCCGTCCTCAGATGAAGAACAGGTCTGTCGGAAAGACAGCGTCTGAATGGGCACCACCATGCTTGGCAGCGTATATTTAAGCTGGGTTGGAGGGGGAAGGGGCGCCTTGACAAAGGAATTTGCATATCAAGAGGAATTTAGCATATTTCCCTCTATTACTGCTAACCCTACTCCCTCCCTTTGATGCTGCTAATCCTGCATACTGCATAATACACGGGCATAATATGACTTTGAAACCCCCCCCCCCCCCCACCTCCTACGCATTCCACAAGTAGTGACTAATCCCATATCTGCATTTCCCATAAATATGCTAAATTCCTCTTGATATGCAAATTCCTTTGTCAAGGCGCCCTTCCCCCTCCAACCCAGCTTAAATATACGCTGCCAAGCATGGTGGTGCACATTCAGACGCTGTCTTTCCGACAGACCTGTTCTTCACCTGAGGACGGCTGCTTGCGTTGTGGCCGAAACGTCGTGAGAATTATTTTATTATGTTAAATTTTTATTATTTTATTATTTCCCTTCTACGTGACTTTACCGAAAGAACCAAGAACATGGGGATGGAATTAAATATGTTTAATCTATTACTACATCACACATAAACACGAGACATATGTGTAAACACAATTTTAATAATGTAAATTTACAGCTAGCCGGATGTTGCACTTAGTCAGACCAGTGCAGGCGATAGACTAAACCTGCGCTGCCTTCTGTGCCACCTCAGCGCATGGCCACAGTGCACGCTCTCGCACGCCAGCTGTCTGCATGGCGTTGTGTCGCTGGGTTTAGCTCCCTAGAGGCCTGCCTCCGGCTCCCTTCTCCTCCTTCGTTGTCTATCGCGGTCTCTCTCTGGGTTTGTGTCCTCTGTATCATTCTCAGAAGCACAATGCACCATCAATACAGTCCAGATTTTTTCATGGATTTATTTCTAGCATTGAAAACGCATGTCTTATAGATTTTAATTGCTAAACATGGTTGTATGTGCAGCTAGCCAGACTTGTCAGCCAGCCGGACCAGGGCTCCCTTATTAGTCCGACTAGCCGGGGTTTTACTCTACCCAATGCATCACAGGAATGTTCCCTTTGTAATAAAGGACTCTTAGGCAATGTAGGTCTCCGTCTGTCCTTTATTGGGTTCTTGTCTCGCACCCCGCGATGTCCCCGGTCGGACCCGCACCTCTTCCCTCGCGTGCCTCGCACGCCGTTCGAGTCCTCCGCTCTCTCTGCAGCCACACCGCTGCCCGTGTGCCCCGCACACTCTGCAGCCACCCCGCTGCTGCGTGTGACTCCGCACACTCTGCAGCCACTCCGCTGCTCCGTGTGCCCCGCACACTCTCAGCCACTCCGCTGCTCCGTGTGCTCCCGCACACTCTGCAGCCACTCCGCTGCTCCACGTACACCGCTGGCTGACGGTGCCGTGACTCCAACCACGTGGCAAATGGTCCCACTCCTCCGCCAGCACCCCGCGTGGCTTCTCCTCTTTTCACTCTCTTTCGACTCCCGATCCCCTTCCGGCTCTCACCCTATATCCTCCTCCTCACGTGACCCTGACTCCTCCTCCTCCTCACGTGACCCTGACTCCGCCCCCACTCACCCCGACGACCAGGCTCCGCCTCCCCTATACTCCGGCCCACGTGAGTGGTGCGGAGGCAGCGCCCACCCTGTCCTTGCTCGCATTACATGACCCCCCCCCCCCTGATGAAAAACCCAGCCGTCCCCGGCTGCAACAGAACAAAATAATGCGAGCAACAACACAACAATCAGGCATCACAAGACAAACGGAGATTATAACAACAATAATTAACGAAAGAAAAGGGACTTGGAACGCGTGCGGGTCGCCGGCCCGTCCCGAACGGGGGGCGGCCCCCGCACAGACCGCGACCACGACAGGGTTTTAGGAGCGGCGGGATCGGAACCGCCCGCCGCTGTTGGAGGCCTGTCAATTCCAGAGTCCCGTTCCCCAGAGAGACCCGTCGCCGGGGTCTTCTGCAAATGCGTCCGCGGCGGGGTTGGAGGGGCAGCGGGGTCAAGTGTCCCCGTCGCCGTGGTCGGCCCCACCCGGAGCAGGAATCACTGTATCCGTCTGGGTCACGGCCGGTCCGTCTGTAGAAGGCACGACAGGCGCGCTTGCAGGTTGAACAGGCAAAGTCAGTGGCGCGTCGGATGCAACAGACACCAGCAAGGAAACATTAGGGGATGACGCATCCGTCTGCGGGGCCACGTAGGGTTTCAATCGAGACGTATGGACGTACCAGCGCCGCGATCCGAAACAAACACGTGCGGACTGCGGACTAGGAACCTCAATAAGCACAACCGGCCCCTGCCATGGTTTGTGCAACTTAGGGGAGGTCCCCACCTGCACCTGCGGGCAGTGCAGCCAGGCCATGTCCCCCACTCGCCAGGGGGATTCACCATCTGAGCGCCGAGCGCAACGTTCGTTCCGGGCCTGGGTCTTGGCCGTAGCCAATCGGGCCCCCTCCCGTGCCTCTGCCACGCGACGAACAGCGTCCCGAATGTACTCCGGGAGAGGCTTAACAGGACCCTTCGCCCCCGTACCCAGCTGCACGTCCACCGGCGGCACATTCTCGCGGCCGTACATTAAAAAAAAGGTGAGTACCCCGTCGACGCATGAGGCGTCATCCGGTATGCGGAGAGCACCCCAGGGATATGCAAATCCCAATCAGCCTGCTTTTCGCTAACCGTGTGACAGAGCATGGCCGACAGGGTCCGATTAAGCCGTTCCACCATCCCATCCGTTTGCAGGTGGTAGGGAGACGTCCGAACCTTCTTGGTCCCCAGTGCAGCACACACCTCAGCCAATAATTTTGAAGAAAAATTTCGCCCTTGGTCCGTGAGCAACCTTTCCGGCGCCCCTTTGTCCATTACATATCCGAACAGGAACGCGTCCGTGATAGACGCCGCTGACTGGTCGGGTAAGGGCCAGGCCATCGCCCAGCGGGAAAGATATTCCACCCCGACCAACAAAAATGTATTCCCCCAGCAGACGGCGGGAAGGGCCCCAAAATATCCAACGCCACCAACTCGTTAATCCGAGACACCTGTATGGACTGCACTGGTGGAACATATGGGTGTTTAGGCGGCTTCTGCCGGGCACAGTCGGGTCACGCCCGAATGTGCCCGACGACATCAGTCATCATGCCGTGCCAGAAGTAGTCCCGCTGCAACGTCAACAAGGTTTTCTGCACCCCGAGATGTAACAACGTCTCGGAGTGCAGAGTCCGAACCAACTCGTACGGTAACGACGACGGCACCACCAGACGCCAGCGATCGTGCAACCCTTCCCTCCACATCAGCAACCCATCCCGGAGAGCGGCTCCCGGCGTCCCACCGGACAGCGGTCCCCCCGTCCCCTTCGCAGCCCGACCCAGCAAGGCCCCCAGCGACTCATCGAGCAATTGCTCGCGAACCCATACCGAACGCGGCAGGTTCAAAACCCCATCAGCCGGTCCCGGGCATATGGAAGCCTCGGGCACCTCGACAGCGGACACAACAGGCCGAGGGGGTTGCGGAACCCGCGTACACCTATTCGTGCCCGAAGCGCAAGCGCAAGGGGACCCCTGCGGCAATCTGGAGAGTGTGCGTCCGCGTTCGCGTGACGCGACCCCTTACAATACTGAATTTCGAACGAAAATTCCTGCAGGGTTTCCAACCATCGTGCCAATTGGCCAGACGGTTGGTCAACTCTCAGGGCATATTGCAAAGCCGCATGGTCCGTGCGCACAATAAACGTACGGCCGTACAGATACGGCCGATATTAGCGAAGAAAATTTACAATAGCCAAAAGTTTGCGGCGAGTAACGCAGTAACGGGTCTCCACCGGAGACAACACGCGGCTACCGTAAGCTACCACACGTTCGACGCCGTCCCTAGACTGGGACAGAACAGCCCCAATCCCGGTGTCACTAGCGTCAGTATCCAGAATAAAAGGTCGAGTGAAATCTGGATAGTCTAACGTCGGTGCCGACGCCAAACGATCGCGCAGGCCTTGAAACGCCGCCTCTTCCGTCGGTCCCCATCTGAATCTCCGGCCTTTAGCTGTAAGGAGGTGCAACGGCCTAGCGATCGTGGCAAAGTTTGGAACGAACCTGCGGTAATATGAAGCGAACCCAACGAACCGACGCACGTCCCCCACTGAGGCCGGAGTCGGCCAGTTACGGACGCACGCCGTCTTTTCTGGGTCCGTGGCGACCCCTTCCGAACTGACAATGTGGCCCAAATAGCGCACGGATCGTTGCAACAGGTGACACTTTTTGGGCTTAAATTTCAAATTGGCGGAACGCATTCTAGCAAACACCGCGTCCAACCTCGATAACATCGTCTAAGTATATCAAGCACGTCTCCCACTGCAGACCCGTTAACACGAGCTCCATCAGCCGCTGGAATGTCGCGGGGGCGGCGTTCAAGCCCATGGGAAGACAATTAAACTGAAACAATCCCTGCGGCGTCTGGAAAGCCGTCTTTTCCCTCGAGGACTCGTCCAGGGGAAGTTGCCAGAATCCCGATGAGAGATCAAGAGTAGAAAAAAAATTCGCCCCAGACAAGGCATCGAGGGAATCATCCATACGCGGCAGTGGGTGCGCGTCCGCAACCGACACCTTATTTAATTTGCGAAAATCAACACAAAAGCGCAACTTCCCATCCTTTTTTTCACAAGGACCACCGGCGCGCCCCACGGACTGTTGGACGGGGAAATGATGTCAGCGGCCAGCATCTCCTCCACTGCGCTGCGAATGTGATCCCGCTCCGGCGGACTCAACCGATGCGGGTTCATTCGAATCGGAGCGGCATCTCCC